TTTTAAAAATTTGCTAAATTTCAGCATTTAATAACAACTGAAATACAGACACTGGATTATATAAAAAATATTATTTAATAGTTCAACATAAACATGTAAAAAATTATCTTGCTAGTGTATCTAGTAATCAATCAGTCTTTAAATCACAGACTTACAAGCAGTTTTTCTCTCCAACATCGCTATCTGGATTTCTTTAACTGAAAGATAAGGAAATTCTCAGCCCACCCCGATACAGTTATGAGGAAGACTGAACGGAACAGTCCAGACATGCTGATGCAGGGTGTTTCAGTTTCCAAGGGTAGGAAGGTAAGGCACGCTCAGCAGGAGCTGTCTGTCCTCCAGCCCTGCTCGCCCGGGTTCCAGATGGGCAGAGTGGCTCCCTGCACATGCGTGCTCAGCCATGTGGTCAGGAGGGTATCAGCTGATGTCTACAGTGTACTCCGCTTCTACGCAAGGATGTTCTGGGAGTTAGGTGTATGAGATGCACTTCCCAGTTACCGTAGGTTTATAAACGTGTATGAGACAGCGCTTACAGACAGTTGAGTAAAGTCTAGGCAACGCTGCTAATTTAAACAAAAGCACCACTTTGAAGGGTGTGTCAAACTGGACAGTTTTAGAGCAGGTGACAGGATAACATCATTTTAAACAATTTGGAACTCCTCCCACAGAAGGAAGCCATCCTTTCGTAGCATTTTCCCAAAGCTTCCTGCGATTATCTTCAATCTACATTTACAGGTTTAGGCTGACCTTCTATGATTAAACCTGGCATTCCACCCTCCAGTGCTGTATTTTGACACTGGTAAAATATCAAGCTATTTTCTCAATAAAGTTTATCAAAATAGTACAGTTTTACATTGTTGAGTAGAACCCACAGATACACAATTTCTTATGCATTACATCTGAGGGTTTAAAATGAGGTTTAGTTTTTCTCCTTAACCCTCTCAAAGGATAAAATGTTTTACAACTTAAAGACAATGATTTATAATAAACATGGATTATTTCTTGTGTATCTTGGTTTATCCAGAAATTGATAATTCACACACACAGCAGTCACACAGATGCACAAAGCCCCTGTTATTTCCTGGGTGCAGTGAGGAGCCAGAGAGGCAGGGACATGCAAAGAAGCTGCCTCTAGAACTACTGCGGGATCCTGAAGGGATTCAGAAACCCCTTTTAAAAACTGTGACCTACTGCAGAACTAAAATGTATATTTCCTATGTGAACTTGGAAGGAGGAACAGAAATCTGTACAAATCTGAGCTTAGGCAAACAGACTTTCAACAGTGCCAAAATAATTCCTTTTTTAGTTTTTTCAAGGATTTTTCACTTACTTCCTTTCATCTGATCCTTGCAATTACCATATAAGGTAATAATGAAGAAAAGTGGCCCAGAAAAATCTCCAAACTGGGCAGTAACTTGCTCTAAACATTCAAGAGAATGTGTCAGGCAGGGCTCCCCTTCCGTCTTTCAAAGAACAGGACCTCAGAGTTTGTCTCTCTATTAAAACATCAATAACAGCAAAACTCTAAAGGTCTATGCTGTGTCATCCCCCCTCTCCCACACACAAGCAGAGACAATCGGGTTGCCAAGCAACCTTGGTAACACTTAAGGACATCTCAGGGGCACAAACTCTATGACAAGCTGGTTAAATGTGGGGCCGTCACACAGTTTAGCTTGGGACTGATTAACACAAATCAGACGCCAAAAAGGCACAAACTGTCTTTTCTGGATGAGGTTCATTTCCAACAATAGCCCTTAGACTGCGAGGCGGAACTTTTGGCAACTGCTTAATATCAACTGGGTAGCTCTCTTGCCTTCTGATCATACCAAAAGAAGTTATCAAACAGCTAGTGGGAAAAGAAACAACTGAAGCTCTTAGAGAAATACTAAGAAAGTCTGAAGAACTGTAAGATACAAGGGAACAGAGGCGGTATTGGCTCCTGTTCTTCATATTACTAAGTGTGTTGAGCAAGGAGCATAACTGTATTAAAACACTCTACCTACGAACTAAGTGGTTCACTCCAAGAGACAGAGATACAAATGTAAAATGTAAGAAAATTCCTGCAATATTAAATCTGAATAGGGAGCATCCATGTGAATTCATAAATCTATTTATTTTTCTTGGCTACCTCCACTGAAGCAATGACAATCCAAGTACATAGTGATAAACTTACCAGATCTTAATTTCTACTATCATTTTCCACTGAAAGAAACCACTGGTTTTTAGCAAAATGGCCAATTCCAATTTTGCAGGGAAAAATTGCAAGCAGATTTGAGATATTCTATTATATCATAATATGATGAGGCCATGGCAGAAAGATCTTGAAGAGTTCCCAGTGGCAATAATTTGAGACAATTTGAGCATTAAAATGAATACAACCATGGTAGATTATAGTATATTAAATTACAAACAAAATAAGTGATTTCAAAAAGATGTGCATGCTAGCCACAGTGGCAAACACCTGTAATCCCACCAGCTACACAGTAGACTGAGGTGGGAGGATCAGGATTTTGAGGCCAGCCTAGGTAACATAGTGAAAACCCATCTCAAACAAACCCCTCAAAACCAAAAAGGAGGTGTGGAATTAAAAAAGAAAAAAGAGAGAACAGAGGAAAAAGGGAAACCTATATAAGAATGCCAGCAAGTTAGGCATGGTGGTGTGGTACCTACAGTGCTACTTGGAAGTCCCTAAGACCAGCCTGCGCAACATGGCAAGACTCTGTCTCAAAAAAAAGATGGCCAGTTAATACAGGTGGAAGAAACAATATAAAATTTCCCCATCTTTCAATTCTCAGTGTCACTGATTTAAACCACAATCAATGAATACTAAAAAGCTGTTGAAATAAAGTCTATAGCCTGAAAGCATCACTCCACAGATTACTATTATAAACAGAAAAATAAAGCTTTATCATGCAGAGATCTGACAGTCATCACTTTAATCAAGGAATCAATTATCACAAAAAATAAAACAACTTGTATTAATATCCCTGGTTTTAAGGCAACAATATACAACTTCATATATGAGTTGCTTAACCATACAAATGATCAGCTAAAAAGGTTTGTTTCTGACAGTGAAAGGACATACTATTAATAATTAAACCAACAAGGCCGGGGATTTAGCTCAGTGGTTCCACTGCCTGCCTCACAACCGCAAGGTCCCGAGTTTGATCTCCCAGTACCAAAAACAATAATAATAATAATAATACCAAAACAATAAATAAAAATTGGAATGGGCATAAACAACCCTGGATTTTTCCTTACTTATAAATATACTGGCCAAGAACATTTAAACTGCACTTGATCATGGTAAGATACTCAGAAACTGACCTGTCCTCACAAAATCTAAGTCACAAAATACAGAGCGAGGAAACTGTCTTAAAGGAGACTAAAGATACACAATAACCAAATGAAATGTGAGGCATTTAAATGATGCATCAAAGAGGGAAAACAACTACAAAAGATATTTTTGGGTCAATGAGGGAAATTTGAATACAGACTGTATATCAGATGATATTACAGAATTTTGTTAATTTTCTTAAGGGTGATAATGGATAACCATGGAGGAGAATATTCTTATTCTTCAAAGATGCATACTTCAGTATTTAAGGTGAAGTGTTGCAAAGGCTGCCACTTCAAAAGGTTAAACTAAAAATACATATATTATAGAAATACATATACACACATAAACCCAGAAAGAAAACAAATGTGGCAAACATAGACATTTAATGCATCTCCTTCAATGTCTGCAAGTCTGACATTTTAAGAACAGGAAGAAACATTTTCTCTTACCCTGGAGCCGCTCATCATTGACGATCTTGTTTGTCTGGTTCCAGGTGCTATCTATAAAGATCACTTTTTTCAGGGTTGTGCCTTTGCACTTGCTATCATTCAGATCACAACTCTCCTGTTCTTCAGTTTTCTTTCGCTTAAAAGATGGGCTCTCAGGGCCATCAGTTTTGCCTTTAGTTTGAATCCTTTTTTGCAGATGAAAAGAAATATCTTTTATTGAGACAGACTGAGGGCCAGGAAAAACGAGTGCAATCTAAAACAAAGAAATTCAGGTTAGCCATGTGCTACTTTATGTGATTTTCAACATAAATTCTGACTGAAAAATTTAAGGAAAAACTATGTTGGATATCTGAGAAGTAAACATTAGGTTGGTTCTATTACATATGGTTTTCCTATATGTATGGTAAAGTTTTGGTCTCTCCCCTAACAATTTATAATCATAATACACTACTTAAAAGTATTACTCCAAAATACGTTATTCACTGATTGACAGGGCAGTGTTAAAAGTACCTTGAATCAAAAAACTAGCATTTTATAAAAAGGCAAGTACATGACACTACAGTTCTATTTAATCAATATAAACAGAACTGAACAGGAAACACAAATATATTCCTAGATCCAAAACTCAGGTATCATTTCCAAATACAACTTTCTAAATAAATTCAATTATATAGACAGGTAGGTAGGCAGACAGAAAAATGATAGGAAAGTAAAAATCTTACCAAGTTCCTTCTGGAACAAATGAATGTATTAACTTTTAATTTTGTTTCTACATTAACCACACCTAAAAACAGCCCTCGTGAAACCTAAAAGGGTTTATACACTTTTTTAGAAGTACCCAAGACCTGATTTTTTGAGATCTATTACCTAATTATTTATCAGAAGACCAGGAATATCACACTCGTGTGACAATTTCAACTACATGAAAATCAATTAAGATTGTAGAAATGAAAAAAAATCTACGTAGTCAAAAGAAATATTACAAAGGCTATGTGTTAAAGCTTTCAATTTAAGAAGGATTTGAAAATCCTTCTTAGTCTTTGTTTTCTTATGGAGACATTCCAACAACACTTCTAATTCGGTTTCCCAGTTTGTATCAAATTAGACCATCTATCTATAGTACACGCAAGAGAATGGCGAGGGGAGAAAGGAAGAGCAGGCTTAATAATACTGGCAAAGAATAAAACTGTGAAAAAATAAAGCAGGAAAACTATTAAAAACTGGCATAAGCAAAAAGTATTAGGAGTTTAGGATCATTGGACCTTTGGAAATATCAATGAACATGCATACTGATTAATGTTAATGAGCATAACACCAGATTATTAAAGAAAAATATTAAAATTATATCCAAGCAAATTCAGAGAGGAAATGGGGCTAGAAATCTATTTTTATATTCAGTTTAAGACTTGTAAAAAAAATCTGCCTACTTCATGATCCTTTTCTTCATATTCTGGAATACAAGGGTATGTGTAAATGTTTACAAATTCAGGTGCTAAGAGTTTTGCATGGATAGCAGTGCTTTTGCCATCTGTTTCATTTGGATGTTTAATGATGTCAATCTTCAGAGGCAGCTAAAGTAAAAAAAGACAAATGAACAAAACAAATATAACATTTATAATCTGTATTTAATAAAAATGGCCTTTAAAACTAAGCAGTTAAGTTCACAATAAGTTCCTATACAGATAGTTTAAAGTCAGTTTTCTAGTCTGGAATATACAGAACAGTAGAAGTCCTAAAGCAAGCCCACATTTCTTCCTCAATACTGTCAATCATGAACTAGAACAATTATTTTTGACTTAACATATAATCTGCTCTTAAAAACAAAGATCCAGTATTATTTTCATTGAGGTTATAGGGGAATTGAGTCCAAATCTTCACATTTCAGTATCTATGCCAAGAACCTGTTTTACAGTTCCTGTAAACTCTAGGTTTATTTTATGCTGTTTCAAAAGGAAATTCAAGTTTGAGTATTACTTCAGACCTAGAATTCAAGTTGCAATTCTGTTCCATATCCTTTCAGATCAGAAGTATTACCCTTTGCTACGAATATTCTGACTTTAAGCGCACATTTTAACAGCACAAATTAAATAATTACCAACTAGAAAAACAGTAAAGGTCTAAGAGGTGTAACCTATATCACAAGTAACTTTCTTCAAAATGACTTGCCCAAATATTTCTCTTAATGCTCATTATTCGTTAACGATTGCATCATGCCTCTTTGGAAAAATAATACTCTCTTGGACTTCTTGAACTAGATTTTTCCATTATTTCACTTTGATTTATTTGGTTTAGCTCTCTGTCTACTGCCCCTACGAATCTTGTGTTCAGCCATGATTGTGAAAATGAAAACGGAGTCAGGCCTCCCCCGTATTACAGAAGCCATCCTCCTGGGGTGAGCTCCTCAGTTTAGACTTAATGGGCTTTGCTCTCCACAAGGTTCTGTCCTCCATCACCAGACCTCCATTAGACAGCAAGGAGGCAGCATTCTAGGAACTTACCCTGGCCACACAATTATTTTACCTTGGAATACAAAATTGTTTTTCTGTGCTTCAAAGTACACATATTTGAAGTGTACAATCTCGTAAGCTTCCATGTATATTACACCTGCGAACCAGTCACCACAACCAAGATCGTGATCTGCCACAACCAAATCTTCTAGTCCCCCTCCCCTCCTTCCCCGCCTTCCTCCTGGCAACAACTACCCCTAGTCCTGGGATGACTAGCTATTTCTTTTTTTTTTTTGGTACCAGGAATCGAACTCAGGTCCTTGCGCTTGCCAGGCAGGCGGTAGAACCACTGAGCTACATCCCCAGCCCTGATCAGCTATTTCTTTAGTGTGCATTTTCCAGAATTTTATATACATGAAATGATTTACCATGCACTCTTTATCCAACGTTTTTAACTTAAAATAAGTATTTTGAAATTCATCCATATCATTAGCTTCAAAGCTATTTTTTACAGTAGTTGTTGCATACTACTAAGCAGACTCTATTTCATATTTTTTTCTTTCTAGACAGTTATGTGAGGACAGTACGATATAAATAATATACTCTAGAAGGACTCTTGCCTGAAAATTAGTATCTCAAATAATTTTCAATTATGGTTTCAAACACTATCATCTCTTGTCCTCCCCACTTAGCCTCAGCGATCATTTGTAAGTTAGAGTCAATTGTTCAAATCGCCAAGCAATGTCTAGTTACAGAAAATTTACCATGTAAGTAAGCAGTTCACAGAAGATTTTACATCAGTCTACTTTTGGCTGAGCTCCACATCAGCCTTTCCTTAAGGTGCTCATTTTCACTTGACACTGTACTCCGTCTCCCCAGGGTCTCTGAGTACCAAGTCAGCATTATCTTATCCCAGGGAAAGTAGGAAGAGGAAAGGAAAGAGAAAGCAGATGGTGACCAAGTGTCCTATTACTAATAAAACTGACTTTTTTATATGTCTGAGGAGTAGGATTGAAAATTCCAAAAGCCTTCACCAAGCAATATCCTGGCTATTTTGGAGGATATCATTTAGATCAAGAACATAGGACTGTTTTTAATGAATTTTATAAATCATGACTTTGCCTATTTTTAAAATAACACAAGAAGGGAAAGTTTTATGGACTATAATCTTCAAGTATAAAGCAATTATGCAAAACTTGTGCCCCTTAGTTCTCTAATTGAGTAGGCCTGAGATTTCTGATACTATGAAACAAAAGCATAGAAACAGGGCAAACTAAGGAAATATGTACTTTAGTTCACACATTTTACAGGAAGAGACACTTTAAAAAATGACAGGGTAGAGAAGAGTGTTGGAATGGAGGAGTTGTTTTCGAACATGTAAAGAATATCAATCTGTCCTCCAACATTTATGTTTTCTACAAGAGATTTACTACAGACCTTTCTGCCCACATATACTAAAGATCTACTAGTAGGGAGACCCAAGGATTTTTCCTTGTGATTATCATCTTTCAAAAAAAAAATCAACAAAGAAAGCCTTATAAAGTAATCTTTTGAACTGGGACTCTAATAAAATGGAATTTTTATACTGTCTGATTCTTTTCTTCCCTTTTTAAACAACCCTAAGACTTCTATTTATCTTTTTAAATGCATTTTTCATTGGTTTAAGAAATTCATAATCTGCATTAAAATATAAATATTTACGAATTTATTCCCTAGACCAAAATTTAAAGTTTGAGGAGACTTGCTCAAGCAGTCTATCTAAAAGCAGTCTATCTAAAAGCAAATGTTGAAGGATTCCTTTAAAAAAGGCAGTACCCTCGGAGGTTCAGGCAAAAGGGTCATAGGTTCAAGCTCCACCTAGACAACTCACTGAGACCTTGTCTCAAAAATTTTTTAGAAGTCTGGGGATGTAGCACAGTTGAAAGTTCCTGAGTTCAATCCCCAAAACCACATACATGCATATATATAGTAGAAATTAGAAAGAACATTTTATAGTTTTATTATTATTAATATATATTAATATAACAAATTTTATACGTGGCCACTAAAATATAAACACTTTGGAAAACTGCACAATCCAAACCACTCAGAGTTGATCAAACACCTGGTATAGTACTTTGAATCATTTCTATTGAACAGTGGAAATCGGCTCACTGATTTGAAAAAATAATCCTGTTACTATATTCTATAAAAATATCAGCCCTATAAATATATTACTGGCTTTTATTTTTCTGATCTGTAGTCCTTTCTGAACACAACATCTCTTCAGATAAAATTTTTAATAGAATATTTTCTTTATGTGACTATGATATAAACAGAAGACAGAATAATTCTGTGTATAGCCAAAAACTATGAAGTGTAACATTCCTGTATGATAATGGGAAACTTAAAAAAATTATTACCTTCAAGCTCTCAGTTTTTCTAAGCAAACTGTGAATATATTTCCTTATCCTTGACCAGCAAATTTTCCATTACCCTAAATGTGTGATTTTACATCCTTGAGGAGACCACAGCCTTGCAAAGATGACATATAGGCTCAACGAAAATTCAAGTAATAAAATGAGCGAAAAGTGCTTTTCATATTTCAATTAAATAAATATTAAAATCACAGTAAGTATTTTGGAATACAGCTGCAATTTATTTCCTTACTGGCAAGCCCTAAAGGGACCATGTATAAAATACAGTCTCTCTAAAGTCCTAACAGAAACTAGTCACCTTTTATATATTATACGATTTACTCCTAACATTTGGGTCAATGCTAGACAAGTTAATACATATGTAATACATTCTATGATTACGTAGGGATAATGATCTATGGACACTGCACCTATACAAAAGCAGTCTTGGAAAGCATCAAACATACAACAGTAAGCAATCAATTCAAATCAACTTTTAAATTTGGTTTAAAATTGCTGTAACACAGCCCAATGAAGGCTTTATATTTTAGTTTAATTGAGCTTACGTTATTGTCATCTGCTCCATTTTTACAAATAGGATGGAGCTATGTCACAAAAGCCTAGGTGAAAATTAACATGAGTTTGATTAGGACAGTGAGTTTCTTCAGGGCAGCTGAACAACCTGAGGCAGGTTTTGAAACTTCAAGTAAGCTTACAAACTTGTTCTTTTAGTATTCGTGTTCATACCACACTTTTTTCCCCCATATTGTAAGTAAGTTATAACTATTAATTTAAAAATACAATTTCATTAAAAATACCAACCATTTCAGACTCAAGTGTTTTTCCAGAGACAAGAAAAAGAAACAGGTGTAGTAACCTGTAGGACTGAATTTCCCACTAAGACAATTCATTTTCATAATTTTTCAAGCCCATTATGTTAGAACAGGATTGTGTGAAACATCTTTTCAAAATCTATTTTCCTACTTTTGAACAAATTTCTTACCAACCTTCACAAGTGGAATCTGTCCAACAGGTACATTTTCCACTGGGACATAGCACGTATAGCAGTAGAACATCCTTGAGCCGCCACACCGGAGACATTTTGACCTCCCACTTTGCTGAGCTTTTTGAAGAATTTCTTGAGATGCTAAGCATAAGTTCTGAAGAGGATCTTCTGAAGCTATGAGAGTAGTTTGTGAATGTTTTGTTTCCACAAATTTTGCATTATTTTCTTCATTTTCTTTAAGAAGCACAGATGGACTTACAGACATTCTTCTTTCAAACCAAAGTTTAAGAGCTATTTCTAAAACATATCATAGATGCACTGTTAAAAAAAAAAAGAAGTGGGAACAAAATAAAAACAAAACATTTTACTCACTGTCTCTACAAATTCACAACTATGTGCTGCTTGTAGAACTATTAACAAATATTGATAAGTATTAAAACCACTAAACTGGCATGCTTTAAAATATAAAAATCAAGAAGCAATAAACTAAAAAAAACCCAAATTATGAATATCCTTTCGGACCATTCCTTCCATAAAAATAAGTACTATCTTAGAAAAATTACTTCAAATATAAAGTTTAGGTACTGACAATCCATTTTTCTAGTACCTTTTTTGTTCTAGAGATGGCAATTACGTTTCATAAATATTAGAAATTCAATGATTGTATGTCAGTATCAGGCAGGAATATATTCAACTCTGTAGACTCTAACTTTGAATTAAAATTACAGGGCTTAACATTAAATCTCATGGTGAACTCCAATGAAATTAAAAGGCTGCAATAATATCAATAAAAGTTAGTTGGATATTTGTGATGTGTAACTCCTTCCCCAGGGCAGGCCATAGAAATTCTAATCTTAAATTCTCCCCTTAACTTCTTCTACCCCCATTTCAAAAGGGGCTCAGCCTCTACTCAGGAGGAAGGGATGTCAAAGAATCTAACAAACAGGCCTTGCTGAGATCCCCCAGCCAGGCAACTTGCAATTGTGTCTACCTCAAAGCATGGGGTTGGGATCTTCTAGATAGCCGAACACACGGAGGCTTACAGAAAGGCAAATGGGGCCACGTGACAGGTGGGGCACACACCCTAACTCCACAGGGTTGAAGCCCCCGCACCAGGGAAACCTCCAGACTTCTCCCTCTGTATCTCTTCATTTGGCTGTGTACCTGTGTCCTTCAAATACAAGTATAGACTTTCCCTGGATTCTGTGAGCCACTTTAGCAAATAACTGAATCTGAGGAGGGGATTTTGGGAAACCCAATGCGTAGCTTGCCATAGGATGTTCTGGATGCCCTGACTTGCAATTGGATCTGAAGCTGGGGCCATCTTGAGGTCTAAATCCTCCATTGTAGGCTCTGACACTATCTCCATCTAGTCAGAAGTGCATTCAATTACAGGACTATAATTGGTGTACACTGCAGATCTGCTTGCATTCTGGTGAGAAGAAATTCATAAAGCTTTTGAGGTTACAGAGGTTTTCCGTGTTACGGTGTAAGAGCAGAGAAAAAAACAAAAACACTTTGTTTTTCCTAACACAGATAGGTTCTAAAATATATAATTCTCCAACTTAAAACATACCACTAAAAATGAGACATCTACTACCAACTATAACTTGTAAAATATCCCATAATGTCAAGTACATGATCTTAGAAGTTTCCAATTTTTAGAGAGTAACATTAATTCAAAAACTTTATACTGCTTTTTAAAAATATACTACACCATTCAGACTTTTTAGTACTAGAAATAAAATAATAAAATAACTTTCCTGCTTAATATTTTCTTCAAAGAAGGGTGATGGCTGCCAAAATCATTACTCGCATGCCCCGGATGCAAGATAGCTTTCAAGGGAAAAAAGAGACTGAGGCTCTATTGATTTGACATGCATTCCACAGCTGTAAAATGATTCTCTTACTACAAAGGCTTATGGCATTGTGGTGTTTATGAAGTCCACGCACTCTGAGTATAAACACTAACAGGAGAAAGGCTGTGACTCTAAACGGAAATTTTCTGTGGTCTCCCAAACAGAGAGTGAACAAAAAGTCCAGACAAACACAAAACATAATTTGCTAACAAGAGGTTCGTGATGCTAATTTAATTACTCAAGAGTTTTTTTGTTTTGTTTCAGATTATAAATCCCAGTGAGTTTGAGGGCCAAATGAAGAAATGTAAAGAAAAGAATGTGAGTCACTGAAGAAAAATGTACTTGCTCAATTTACCCAAGAAGAAAACCAAAACGCATATACTAAATATTTTTCTTGTATAGTGATTAGGGACAGATTTACATTTGAGTTGGTTCAAAGAAAGTAATACTTGAAACTGATGGTCCAATCCCCCTTCCAGCCTTATAAAAAATGGAAAACATTATTTACTTGTGATGGCTACTCCCAATCAGCTGCCTAAAAATGGCTTCTAGTCTTGTGAACATGCCTTTAGAGACTATAAGATATTAAGCTGCCACCTTTTCTTGAAGTCTCAGAAGCCTTTAGGAAAAACACAAGAATCTTGTACCTTATGCCTAGAAAATGCTTATGGCAGAACTGTATTTTCCACAAAACTTCAGGTATTTTGCAGAATATAAGTACAGAGCCAAGAAAAGAAATCCTGACTATGATAAAAAAAATTCCTTCTAAGGACAGAAGCTGCCTTAAAAGTTGGGGAAGAAGCCAGGCATGGTGGCTATAATACCAGCTGTGGCAAGGAGGATCCACAAGTTTGAGCCCAACTCAGGCAATTTAGCGATTTAGTGAAACACTGTCTCAAAATAAAAAGAGTGCTCAGTGTGAAGGTCTTAAATTCAATCCCCCAGTTCCAGAAAAATTTGGGGAAGAGCTCCTGTTATAGCTACTGTTGAGCAACAAAGCATCAGCTATTACAAACCAACAGAGTCCAGCACTGTTGCATTTAGGCAGCTAATTATGTTTCACCTAAACGCTCTTGATTTGGATTGTTCCTTTGTCACCTGTGGCTCCTTCTGAGAACTATTTTAAGGCTACAATGGTTTTGAGTTATTCGGAGCATGGCACTTATCCTAAAAAGGACTAGACCGATTCAATACAACTTCACTTCCCTGGGTACTTCTGTGGCTACTTAATGGTTCTGCATGTGGAACCACTGGGTCCAGGCACAGTGGGGCTGAAGAATTTCTTGTATTTCCTGTTGATACCATGAAAGTCAAGGTAGCTGCCTGACAGTCAACTAAAAACTACTAGTGAGTTTTGGGAAATTACAGAGCCCACAAAGTGCATTGTCTTTTGAGATGTCTCAGAAATATAATCCTGAATATGTCACTGGCCTTTCACCCACATCAACTAAACAGGTATCAGGGAAGCCTTGCTCTGCAAAAATCAAACAACACAAATGCCTGTGAGGAGAAAAAGGAAAATGTCTCTAGCTCCTCTCACTACCTCTCCTAGCCACTCTCATCTATGGCTGAGGTGGCTACGTAACAGAGACTAGCAGTTGTGAATCACAGTTCCTGCAAGTCTGTGAAATCATGTGACCAGGGAACGTGCCAATACCTCACCAATACCCTGCCTCAAATGTGCACAAGTAATTTACAGCAAAAGTGGTTATTCAAAACCTTCACACTGTACTTGTTAACATCAAGTATGTGGTGGTGAAATACAACTGGAGCTGTGGGGGGCTAAAAACTTAGAAAGCCTCACGGCTATTACTAAGGAATGAACAAAGTTTTAGCACCTCTATGGTATATCCATCATTCTACAATTTAAGCTGAAAAAATAGTAATTTTTTTCTCCTCCTTCCAGCAATTTCCAAAAAAACTATACTCCCCAAGTTGCATCATCTCTACCTTGCACATAACCTTCTATTTTCAGACCCAAAGTCAGGAAGCAAGCTAGGGTGATCGCTCCCACCTCTGAGTACTCACTGGTTCCACACATTTGACATGGAAACTTTCAGCAAAGCTCCCCGCCTAGAATTCTTTCCTGATCTCACATATTCCTGATATTGGTGAAACAGGAGGAAACCTAAATACCTGTTAACTAAACAAAGCCATTCTGGAAGGCCATACAGTAAGCACATTGCTACTGGTGTAGCTGACAAACTACTTTTATGGGCCATCTGCAGCCTGGTAAAAGGGGCAGCCTTGCCACTTTTTTTTTTCTCCAAAAACAATAAAGGAAAAGACAGCTTTTCCATCGCAATGAGTTAACCTACCTCTCCATGGACCATGTCTAAAATTCCCCTATCCTGCTCTGTGAACCAATTCATTGCTATCTAAAACGCACTTCAATTTTTCTTTCTGGAGTGTTTAAAAATTCTTACTAGTACCTGTTTGCAATACATAATGTTTACATCCATCCACGTGAGGAAGAAGGTGTATGTGCTTAACATACGTAAATTCTCCCCCTCCCCTCATTTTTGGATCCCGTTTCCTATTGCCTATCTTTAAGAACTGGTCACCTAACACATGCAGGTCCAACATTCATTTTTTAAAGTCCAAGACGCCATCGCTTTTTATACAGGACCTACGTCCCCACCCACAGCACCCACCACGGGGTGGGCACTGCCTGGAATTTTCCATGGTGCCCAGGGGTTCGGTCAGAAACAGTCCTTCGTGTTGCGACCTCAAGTATCGACTTTTATATTCCAGGCTGCGGAACCGGCACCTGCAAGTGTTCATAGCGCTCCTGATCGGCCTTAGGAGCCCGAGAGACGATCGGGCAGAGGCCGCCGCGGCCCGCTCTGTGCTGCCCGGCAGGCACCGCGCACTTCCGTGACCTCCCCCCCGGCCGCTGCTAGGGACTGGGAAGCATGGGGCTCCTGGGGAATGGCTTGGAAGGTCAGGGTCCTCCTGGGTGGCAAAGCTCGAAAAATCCTTGGGGGGGGGGGCGGGAATGAGGAAAACCAGGGAGCCTTTGCCCACCGGGCCCTCGACATCCGACCAGCGCAAACGCCCGCGCAGACTGCAGGTCCCGTCCGAGAGGACTCAGCACGGTCTCCGCAGGGTCCTGACACGGAAGGGTCACTGCCCCGGCTACGGCCACGGCCCCCGCCGGACCCCGGCCTCGGCCCCGGGGACCCGGAGGGACTCAGACCTGCACAGCCCTCCAGTCCGCGCGCGGCTCCACGCGTCTTCCGCTCCGCCCCGGCCCAGGCACGCGCCGGACAGGACCGGGACGGACCGGCGGAGCGCTTTCGAGGAGACACCAGTGGGCGGGGCCAGGCCGTTGCTGGGCAGTTGCTGGGGCCGGACGCTGCGCAGGCGCGGAGCGAGGGTAACGGTCGGGACGCCGGCGGGGCGGGGCGGGGCGGGGTTAGGCGGGAAGTCGTCGCTGGCGGTGTCGCCGTTCCGAGGCTCCCGCGCGGCCGAGGTGGCGTCCGACTCAGGCCTCAGCCCTGCTCGGGGCGCCCGGAGACTGCGGCCGAGTTCCAGACAAACTTGCCAGGCGTAGTTGCAGTGAGTTGCGAAATCGTGCTGATCTCACCGAGCACTTCGCGTTTTACCAATCCCCGAATATTTCAATCGTGAGAGGTTGGTCCCGTTACGTGTGAGCTATAGTAAGCCTATCGCGAGCCGCGTAGTAATTACAGGAACCCCCTGAAACGAAGCATCGTAGATGGGTACGTTGCGAAGCCATCCTTGGTGCCCCATCCCCAAAGAAGCCCAAAGGAGAGGAGCGTGTGTTAGCAGCCCTAAGATTTATAACAGATCAGATATTGAATGGTGAGCTATGGATTTAGCAAGCGGGACCTAAAGTACAGGACCCTGCCCTGCCTAGTGGAGTCCGTAAGATACAACATGAATAATTTAATAAATGATAAGAATTTCCACAAGAGAAAATTCTGGCGATGGCTTAGGGCAGTGGTTTTCAACCGCAGAGGGTAGTGTATAGGATCCAGTGGGGGAGGGCCCCTGAGTAAGGACATCTAAGGAAAACTGCACTCTTTAAGTAATAAAATAACGCAAAGTGGAAACATCAGTGCATGGCACTTACAAAAGTTAGGTATTGCTTTATGGAGCTTTTAATTCTATAGATGTGCATATGCGTGCACTGCTTTGTGTTAGTAAAATGTATTTCTTGTTGTAGGGTACTCTGAAAAGTTTGACAGTCACTGAGTTAGGGGAAAGATGAACTTTGTAGGTAGAGAAAGCAGCAGTGGCAAAGTCTGTGAGCCATAAATAAAGAATTCATGCCCATTTCCTTTTTAAATTTAGCTCTTAGTTATATCAGAGCAATTCAGCTGCACAGATTAAAAAGTACATGATTGTATTTACTTGAGTACTAAAACATGGCAGCTTGAAACAACCCTTTTGTTAAATTGATGAGTTCCGTGGCTAGTAGGGCATGTAGATCAGATTTGCTCTAATACTGGGGAAGACCAGATTTGCTGCTGGTAGCAGAGCGCCTATCTACAGCCTCTCCATGGGGCCTAGCCTCCTGCCATGAACTGCCATCTTTCGACCCAGCCTCCAAGAGTAACACAGTGTTACTTTGAGAATTTGAAATGGAGCTTTAAAAATTATGATTTTTAAATTAAGAAGTTTCTGCCCAGCAAAAGTGAAGAGACAATCTCCAGAATGGGAAAAATATTTTGCCAGCTATTCCTTGGACAGAGGACTGATATCTAGGATATATAAAGAACTCAAAAACAGACCCCCTCAAATAAAAGAGCCAATAAAAAAATGGACAACTGAAATGAATAACCCTTCTCAGAAGAAGTACAAATGGCCAATAAATACATGGAAAAATGTTCAACATCTCTGGACATTAAAGAAATGCAAAATAAAACAATGCTGAGGTTCCATTTTACTCCAGAAAGAATGGCTGTCATCAAGAAATCAAATAATAAATTCTGGTGAGGCTACCGGGAGAAAAGAACCCTTCTTTATTATTGGTGAGAATGAAAACTAGTACAACCATTATGAAAATCAATGTAGATTCCTCAGAAAACTAAAACTGGAAATTCCATTTGACCCAGCTATGCCCCTGCCAGATACAGTCCCAAAAGAGTTAAAAGACATCATATTACAGTGATGCATGCATGCCCATGTTTATAGCAGCACAATTCATAATAGCTAGAACTGGGAAGTGCCCTACATGCCTATCAACAGATGAATGGATAAAGAAAATGTGGTTTTTACACAATGAGTTACTGCTGTGCCATAAAGAAGGATAAACATGAGTCATTTGTAGGAAAATGGATGCACCTTGAGACCATAATGCTAAGTGAGGTAAAACAGAGACGGGTTAAATATTGCATGATTTCTCTTATAAGAGAAACCCATAATGTAAATACAGAGCAAAATAAAAGGTAATTGGAAGTAGGGAGACAGATCTTTTGCAAAAGAGATGGAGGGAGGGGGTCAGAGGGGACGGAAAAAGAGCTAGAACATGTTGTGTGTATGTGCCCCATGAGGAATGTAATCATTATGTACTTCAAACATGTACTAATAAAGAATAAGAGTTGAAAAAAACAAGGTGTTTAAAACTAAGCTATTTCTCCAACTTCCACATGCTGAGAGTAACAACTGCTTCCCCCAGCGCTGGCAAAAAGGAAGGTTCAACAGAACCAGGCTCACAGTATTTTCTGGGCATCCCAGAGGGCCAGCGCATCTTCCTGTGTGGGTGGGGTGGGGGGTTCCCAGGGTTCCCACCCAATTTGGGTAAATTGTGAATAAACTCCTTTTCCCATTTTTACAGCCTTTCCTCATACTCTAGTTGGTGGGCAGGTGAACGAATCCAGACAGTCAGGGCCCATTTCCAGGTCTCTGCCCAGGCTTCCAGTAATAATTTCCCTCACATTCTTTTGCCTGCAGGTGAGAAACAAGGCCTGTTTACTTATAGGAGAGGAGACAGCGAGCCCACTTCTCAAAAGATTGTCAAAGAATTTGTAGCCATATTTTTTAAAAAGCCAACTTAGTGAATTTAGTGCTCTAACAGAAAACCCTATCTGTTTTAATAAAATAAGCATTTCTGAAAAAACATCCAATATGAATATCCCTAATCAGATGAAATGTTAGACTCAAGGACACAAATTTCCTTTTATTTTTAGTAGTGCCAATGTTCTTTTGAATATTTCTTTTCTTATTTATTCCATATGTCTAAATATGTTTGTATTGCAATTTCTTCATTTTTCAATTTCAGTCATTATCCACTGACTTTTTCCTTTGGAAGACAGTGATGTCATTGGTTTTTTTATAATACCACTCCAGGCTTGTCTCCCTACACACACACCTTTCTTGGTCCCTTCTGTCCGTATAGTGATAGAATAGTTTTAGGTTAAGATAATTTAGTGTTATCAGCACCCAGCACCGTGTCTAAGTAAATATTAATCCTGTGGCACATAGTATACTGTGGTCACATTAACTTTTAATATAACCTTTTAGTTTCTTTAATTATTGCCATATTTATGTAATTATTAGTAATTTTTCCTTACTCTGTCAAAATGATAAAGTCTCACCGTCAAATACATCCTTTGATCTGGCAGAGTGGGTTTGTTGTTGAGTATCCCCCTTACAGCTATTCATTCTAGAGCATTTTAACCTCTACTCCATAAATATGGATTGTTTTCACCAATTCAGTACTGCTCTCCAGTATTGGATCCCTTTTTCTCTTTCGTCTTTGTTTAATCCTTTCTTTTTATGAAATACATCCTCCAGAACCTTCCTGGGAAAATGTAAATGAGAGTATGTGAGACAGAGTAATACCCCACCCAGATATGTCAACTATTCAACATCCTAATTTTCAGAACTCCTGAATATGTTATCTTATATGGCAAAATAAATGGCATCTCTAATTAAGGGTCTTGAAATTGGAAAATTACCCTGGGTTACCTCGATGGCCTCACATAATCACAAGGCTTTATAAGAGAGAGAAAAGAGGTCAGAGAGGGGAGAACACTTCTGGTTTTGAAGTGAGAATCATGAGCAAAAGAATGCAGGGTTCTGCTGGAAGCTGGAAAAGAATAGCCCTGCTGACCTGCCTGGTTTCAGGGTTCTGGCCGCCAGAACTGAGAGACAGTAAATTTGTGTTGGTGTAAGCCTTTCAGTGTGTGGTAATTTGTTACATCTGTATGAAATAATATGGACAGAAATGATGATTCTTTTAGTATCTTGTGGATGTTAAAAATGCCACACGTATCTCTCTTATATTTGAATTATAAATTGAAAGTCATTCTCCTGAAATAATCTAAATTCTCATCTTTTCCCCTTTGATTCTTGTTCTAATATTTTTGTTTTACTTTCTAGAAGATTTCTTCAGCCCTTTTTCACATAAAGGCTTTTGGCTATACCATGAGATTTCTACTTTACATTTTTTTCTTTTTATCTGTTCATTTACAACGTGCTATGTTGGGTTCAGGGATGCATTCATTACCTTACTGTAGTTCTTAAGAATCTTAAGGATTTAAAAAAAAAAAAAAAAGTATTCTGTTCCCTACACTGTATATTTACAGATTTTGCTTTTAGCCTTTTAAAAAATTTCTGTCTTTTGTTACTATCTTTGTTTTAATAGTCATTCCTTAGATCTCTAGTGATCTTTGGGTTTCTATTCATACTGAAGAATAAGGGTAAAATTGGTGATGGTTCCTTGTGTCCAAATAGCAATCAGCTTCATATTAGAGTAAGATTTATCTCTGAGGATTTCTCAAAACATCTATAGAAGAAAAGAGATTAAGGAAAATTAAGGGAGAAATAAATAAAATTGAAAACAAATGTGCACTGTACAGAAAAGAAAAAAACCCAAAACTGGATCTTTGAACAGATTAATAAAATTGATAAACGTTAAGATATGCTGGCAAAAAACAGACAAAACTCAAAGTATAAATATCAGAAATGAAACATGACCACAGGCCCTAAAATAGTAAAAATAATAACAGCACATTAAGAATAAATACTTATTTCAAAATATTTGACATTTAAGTGTTTTTTCTATCAAAAACAGTTTACCAAAGTGGATAGAAGAAATACTAGAACATCTGAATTATATTGTATTAATTTTGATAAATTGTATTAGTCTCGTCAGGCTGTCAGTTTTTATCATTAGCTCCAGTGCTCTGCCCAGGCCACCACAGAGCAGATGGTTTAAATAACAGACTATTTGCTTTCTCACTGCCCCCGTAGCCAGAAGTTCAAGATGAAGGCGACATCAGGATTGGTTTCTGGTGAAGCCTCCCTTCCTGGCTTGAAACCCACGGCCTTTTCACCGTGTCCTCTCACAGCTGCTTCCCTGTGTGATAGCGGCCAGAGGAAGGGAAGGGGAGTCAGAGTGGACTCTGTGTCTCTTCTAATGAGGACGTCCTGTGCATGAGAGTCCACCTTCGTCACCTCATTTAACCTCACGTGATGTGATCAGAAACTACAGTGAATGTTTAACTTTTTAAAACATTTAATTCACTAAAAGACATTAATCCTCAAAATCTCCCTCTCACTTCAAACACACTTCTCCCATCGTTCAT